AAACAGGGATCTAAAAGGTGTCATATGATAAGTACAACCAGAGTCAATCAACCACTCATTTTCAGTCATGCTACTCAACACAGAATTGGCAGAATCACAAATCATAAAAACTTCTTCATACAAGTTATTATCATCTACCACATTAGCATGTTCAGACTTCTTCGGATGGGGACAATCCTTAATGAAGTGACTAGAATTACCACAATTATAGCACACTCTCTTCTTAGACTTACCTCTCTTCTTCCCCGGGTCATTGTTTTTGTTCTTATCGTTGTTGCCCTTCTTATGGTTTCTAGATCTACTCTTAGACCTACCCCTCACAAACAACGCTTCACCAGAGTCCCTAGACTGACTGTTACTACCCCTCGAGTGTCTAAGGTCTAACTCCTTACTCCTCAATCCATTAACGACTATATCTAACGAGATATCGTCTCTACCATACTTTATGGCAGATTTGACGTCATTGTATGAGTCAGGGATGGCATTAAGTAACACTATGGGTGTGTAGTCATCTATGTGTTTATCACCAGCTTGCTTAATGTTCTGGATAATCTTGTTAAACACATCTAGGTTCTCATCTATGTCCTTAGACAGGTCAAGCCTAAATCTAAAGAACTTCTCAAGCAAAAACAATTTACCAGGCAAAGAAGTATCGGTATACAACTTATCTAACTTGTCCCACAAATCCTTCGCGGAATCTATAATACCCACCTTCCTGAGCACTGAATCAGACAGGTTCAGGTATATAGAGGAACAAGCAGTTTCATTCATCTCAACACGCTTTGCAGCATCCTCAGAGTCTAAATAGAGACCAGTCACAGCTCTATAGACTTTCTGTTGGATCAACACACATTTGATTTTCTGTTTCCAGATATCAAAATCTGTCGTTCCGTTAAATGGAAGCACGCCATATTGATTGACAGCCATATGAACCGGAAAGCAAGCACAATACGCAAGAGAATAAATAAAATTTATCAGGCTATCAACCGGTACGAAGCAGCTAGCACGAACAAGCCGAGAAGACCAATGAACACAAAGCTCGGGTACAATCTCCTTGTTCTTTCGTACCGTACGAAGCAACTAGCACGAACAAGCCGAGAAGACCAATGAACACAAGGCTCGGGTACAATCTCCTTGTTCTTTCGTACAAGCACAGATAAAATTTTTATTTACTCAACAGACAGATAAATGATTAATTATAACCTATAGGGCTATCAATTGTACGAAGCAACTAGCACGAACAAGCCGAGAAGACCAATGAACACAAAGGTCGGGGTACAATCTCCTTGTTCTTTCGTACAAGCACAAATAGGCTAGAATTAATCAACAATCAAAGAAACTGGATTTAAAACTAATCTGGACAGAAATATTCCCAACTTCGGACAACAAGTATCCAAACAAATATTCTTAACCGGAGAGTTTATCCACGAATCAATTAACAGAAAAATCAAAATAAAAAATCCAACACGTGATTAAATTTAAACCGGAAGAAATATTCACAACTTTGGACAACGAATATCCAAACAAAATATTCTTCACCGGAAAAATTAATCCACGAAACAATCAACAGAAAAACAAAATCCAAACGGATTAAATTTAAACCGGAAGAAATATTCACAACTTTGGACAACGAGTATCCAAACAAAATATTCTTCACCGGAAAATTAATCCACGGACCAACAAACAAGTAATCACAATTCAAACAACAAAGTAATTGCAATTCAACTTGAAATTAAAAAATGAATGAACTACGAATAATAATTACACAAAGGATTAGTAAACGTACCTGGGGCCGGGCACAGCCGGCATCCTAGACCACGCAGGTCAGCAGCGGGGGAGCGGGGGGAAAATAAATCCGGTGGCACTCCGGTACACCAAGGATGTTAAAGCCAATTTACCTGAGCGGGGCCCGAGGTTGGGTTACCCGACTTACCGTAGGCAGCGTGGGCTGCTGTAGAGCCGGTGGAAGCGGACTGGACAGGCGGCAACACTCCCCGGCAGGCGGCAGAACTCTGGATTGCGACTGGCAGAACTTCTCTGGACTGCCTGAAGCTTCTGGACGGCTGGATGGCTCCTGGCAGAAGGTCTGAACGGTGCAGCAACTCCAGGCGACGGCGGCTGGACGTCCGACGGCGGCGGGCGGCGGCGAGACGGCGGCGGGCGGCGGCTGGCTCTGATACCACTGTTATGGGAGTTATCTTCCAGCTCAGGTCTCCAATTTCATCCACAAAGGATGAATAAACCACTAAAGGTCTCAAGGGAAGAAGGGGCGTCAGCCTTCAAGCCTATTTCCGGCCAAATACAGTAGGGTTCCACGGAGGAGATTTTCGGGGAAGAAGGGTTTAGGCCAACGCCAGTTCAACGGCAGGGAAGGAGATTAAATAGGTACAAAGCAAAGTAAGAATGGAAATTCTTACCATATGAAAGCTAACGTCCGAATCGCACAAGTATGGAAGGAGGAGAAGCATCGCATAAGGAAGGAGGTCTGCGGCTCGACAATTGGAAACAAAGGCTTGGGTCGGGTACACCTCCAGTCAATTGGGCTTAAGGAAATAAGTGACTTGGGCCAATACCAACAAAAACTGCCCAAAACGGGACCAAAACATATTCATTTTGTTAAGATATGACTCAATGTCTTAAATTTCATGAATAAGACTTATTTAATATGTGATTACACAAAAATAACCATTATAGCTAGAGAGGTTGGAGCAATTTTTGGTTGTGGAGAGTCCGTCGCCACTTGTTTACAAAGAAATCTATTTGAGACTAAGACCTTTCTCAACTCGAATTAAATTAGAAATAATTACATAAATATGATCAAAATGAAGATGGTTTACAAAAATATGATTCATTACTAGAGTAGTAATGAAATCATAGTAATTCATGTTCAAGTTTTGAACTTTAGTTACCACAGCACCACGTTGTAGTAATGAATAGTCATATTTATGTAAATAAGTTTTATTTTCGTAATATTCTCGTAAAAAATCCAATTAAATTAAGTTGGCGTTTAATTTTTAAATTTTTTTAAAATAAAACTAAAGTATCGATAAAGTATAAATATAATCATCATTATCTTTTTCCTTAAAATGAGACTTATTCACTCATAATTGAGGAAGTTTTATATTTTCAATAGGATCAAATAAGTTTTGTTAAAGGAATTATACTCCTATGAGTATGAGTACGTTTTGATTACTTCTAATCCTGTTTAGAGCAATTACTGTAATGTCTAAATGTATTTATAGTATAAAAATATGATGAGGTTATGGGAGGCCTAGAGCTTGAGGCCTTATCGGTCCAAGCCCCGAAATTAGACTCGTGAGTCTAATTTCGACTTGAGCCCACGACTTGAGCCAACAGGCCCAAGCCCAAGTCTGGGGCCTGCCTACCAACCTAGCCGGGAGACTGCCAGCCCGGTCGACCTACCAGCTAGGAAGAATAACCTTCAAACTATTAATGTGTTATTTAATTATGTACTACGTATTTAATTTTGTATTAATATTGTAATTAATTAGTCATTATTATTGTCTACAACGGTTATGATTTGTAAAAGCAAAACAAGTCTGATTCAAATACTAAATATGCTATTTTTGGAAACTAAACTTCCTTAACAACTTTCCATTTTCGTATTACTTTCTTGATTCCTCCTTAAGTGTTCTTTCGTAGCTTTCTAAAAAGTCTATGAGCGTTCATTTTTGGACCAACAATTTATTTAAGCATGCTCTCAAATGATAATACATGTAAAATGTAGAGCGAAATTTAATCTGAAAAGCTAAATGCCTATATATTAAGTTACACTTAACGTTTGTATTATAGGAATTACATGGCATCAGCTTTAAATTATGCATCGTTTGAAGAAAACTTTGATTGTAATGGAGGCTTATATGTAATATTTAATAAAAATCTTAATGGCGATCGACCAAATCTCTAAAAAGATAAAGGTACGTAACATATAAATTAGCACCCACTTATGATGGAATCATATAAATTCCCGTGGTCCATTGACCAAGTCATCATCCAGTATTCCCTTGGTCGTACGGCACATCCAAACCATAGTTGTAAAATTTTGTTTCTTAACTTGCTGCTCCATATTTTAGAAGGACCAGCATCCCAATGCAACGGTTAAAGATGTTTTTTAATAATATTTCACAAATGAAATTTATTTAAAAAATTATGATTAATATGGAGTAATAATTATAGTAAAGTCTCATAATCATTTGACTGTAAAAATTGAACATACATAAAATTTGGAATGTCACAATTTTATACAAGCTCTATTTTTATTAAAAATATGAAAATATTTCAAGGTTAAGTTTAGCTAATTAAATAAGTAATTGTTAATATTATATATATACGAAGTACTCTATATATATTATTATTACCGGTATCATCATCATCATCTTATTGCAATAAATGGATATGGTTTCTAGCTTATTGAAATAAATGATGTGATGACATCTATCTAATTTGTTTATTTCTTAAGACCATTATCTAATTTGATTATAATCTGAAATGGATATATATGGTTTCTAGCTTATTGAAATAAATGATGTGATGACATCTATCTAATTTGATTAAAATCTGAATTTACATCTTGATTTCTTATCCATCCATTCTGCATCCTAAAACGGTCTCTATCTCCATGTTTTCGTGAGCAATCCCTGAGCATTTTTTTCATATTCTGTTTATCCACCTTCCATTCGATTTTTATGAGTGTTAGGATGATATAGTACTAATTAATTTACTCATGCTTAAAATACCCCGAATCTAATTGTTTCCCCGATCAGTTTTATCCTTTAATTACTCGAAACGAATTATTTGATGTCCCTAAACAAATTACACATTTTTATTTTTAATTTCTACTAGTACAAAAAAATAGGTTATTTTACTGATAGTAAAATACTCCATTCCATATAGGATGTTTTTACTTGGATTGTAATTTGTCCTAGACCAGACCAGACCAGACCAGACCAGACAGATCAGACTTGACCAGCGAATTAAATTACAGTCCAAGTAAAAACATTCTTCACCTTATTAGTTATTTCCCCTTTTAAATATTTTTTGACAATATAGTTTTCATCCCCTTAATAGTAATACGGAGTAAGTACGATAGTATTTAAATTGCATATACGGTATTACTTAGATAGTACTCCGTATGAATTAGACCATTGTAAAGGTATATATACACATACGCGCTCACATAGTTTTGCATCCCATATCTCTTAAGATATTATTCTTCTCACATTTCCACCTCTTCTAACTAGTTCGCCGGCAAGAAACCAACCGCCATGTCGGAGGAGAAGCACCACCGCCACCACTTTGGCCACCGCAAAGACGATGAAGAGGAGAACAGACAGCCTTCCTATCCGGACAGGACGACAGCCTACGGCGATGATATAAACAATAACGACACTTATGGCGCTTATGAGAAGCCCTATGGCCAACAAACTGCCACCGCCTACGGAGGAGATGATGACTCCTCTTACAATTATGAGAAGAAAACCACCACTGAGTATGGGTATGGTCAAGACTCGTACGGCGGCGGTCAACAAGCTGCTGACTATGATGACGACAAGCCTGCCGGGAGAAGCCATGAGGATTTCGAAAAGGAGAAAAAACACCACAAGCATCTCCAGCAGATTGGTGAGCTTGGCACCGCCGCCGCCGGTGCCTACGCCTTGGTATACCACAAACTTATTCATAAATTTTCTTTAATACCTACTACGTACTTTTTACATCCCAAAATATGATTCAATCAATTATATATACTTAGGGAAGTATTAATCAGTTCATTCTTTTAATTGGATTAAGAAAAGACTAAGCATGTTTTATTAAAGAAATAAAACATACTTGCTCTATCCTATAGAATATTGTGTGAAATTTATAAATTTCAGGATTTTCAGTTTCAGTTTTATAACATTTGACTCACTTATCGTTGTGACATCTTTTCCGGTACACTCTCACAGGGTACTTTTCAAGGAAAAAATCTTTAAATCGCAAAGATTTATAAGTTAAAAGATCAAACTTGCAAGTGACCAAAGTTGTAAGACTGAGAATGAAATTGACCGAAAGATACATGACAAAAACTGCAAAGCTCTCTAAATTTCATACGTTTACGTAAGTGTTTTCAAAACAAAGAATATTTTCATAAAATTTTCTTATCGTAAGAGTTTCATTTGAAAACATATATATAATCAGTCAGATTTGATCATAGATCGTCGATTAAAAATTAATATAATCAAGTTTTATGAGATAGATTATATAAATATATAAGTATGTGCGGGGATGTGGCAGTATGAGAAGCACGAGGCAAAGAAAGATCCGGAGCACGCGCACCGACACAAGATAGAAGAAGAGGTCGCTACGGCGGCTGCCGTCGGCTCCGGTGGGTTTGCGTTCCATGAGCACCACGAGAAGAAGGAAGCCAAGGAAGAGGAAGAAGAGGCTGAGGGACACAAGAAGAAGCACCACTTCTTTTAATGGATTAATAAACGTTTTGAAATTCCAAAATAGGAGTATCCTGTTTTTTTTCCTGAATAGGAGTAAATTTCTACCAAGTTTGACATTACAAGGCTCTAAACATGGCTTTTTTTCAAACTTGCCACATTACTCGTATTCAGGGAACAAAAAACATGATACTCTTATTTTGAAATTTCAAAATGTTTTTACTCCTATTTAGGATAATTTCTGTTAATAATTTACTACACGTATTTGCAATTACGTAATTTAATTTGGATCGTATCTGCCATCTGCATCTTGTACGTTTATTTTGTGTACCACTGCCTATATATTTATACAGTCCGTACGTGTGTGAATAATGGCCACCCCTTTAATTTGGTCTTGTCAGTACTTTGATGTAAGAGCTTTTATACGCTGTTTTATTCAATAAATTATACTCCATATGTCTGATGTTTTTTTAAGGACCGTATGTACTATGTCTGATGTTGAATTACGTGTTACGTAATTCAATGTTTTTACTTGGACGGTAATTTTTATCTGGTCTGATCTGATAAATGTCTGGTCTTTGTATATTTTATAACTATCCAAGTTAGATTTGGTTTGGTCTTATTTGATCTAGTCTGGTCAGGGTCTGTTCAAGTAAAAATATCCTAGTTCCAATTACAATACATGCTAAATTGGAATACAAGTATTTCTTCCGCTGCTAAAGAGTGTGTTTGGGTAATAGCTGCTTGAGTGGAGCTAGGTGTACACAAAAATTGTATACAAAAGTTGCACACTTGTCTGTCTAGCGCAAATAAATTGTCTGTCTGGAGTTGAGTTTTCTGTCCACCGACAACTCACCTGTAGACAGACAATTTATTTGCGCTGAATACACAAGTGTACAACTTTTGTGTACACCAAACATTTTTCCTCATAGCCGCTTAGGTCCATTCCGCCGCTTTTTCCAAAAAAAAAAAGGTTGCATTTTGCAGCGTTTAGGTCCCAATAAGCCATAAAACAAACAAGGCGAAAATATGTATGATGAAAAGCGCTAATGCTACTTTAATGTGAAGTGCGGTTAATATTAATAATCAGTTCTATCATTATACTTGGCATTAATCAGGCGTGGATAAAAAATTGAAAAATCAAATTGAATGACCAACCCACCAATGCGACAAATTCACACAAACCAAACCGACCAAATTAAAACTGAATCCAGTGAAATTGAAATCGACTAAATTGACCTAACCCTTGCCGGTCCAGTTTACGATTTATTATTTTGAATTAAAAACTCGACCGAATTGACAAAAAACTGATCAAAACGTGCTAAAACCGACCACAATAGTTACAAACCAACCCAAACTAATTGAACCGACACCAAGTCAAGTTCTGCAGTTAGGATCCCGAATTCACCTTTTTTTCAAAATAGTGGTTAAAGATTGAACTGATAAAAGTGGTAACAAAAAAACGTAGCATTTGACCTCAAGCAGAAGACATAAAATAAATTAAAGGCAATTATGACCACACGAATTTCACAATTGCCTTGTTATCCTTCATTCAAAGGGGCCGAACCGCCGAATCTCCAAGCCAAGACTCCCCAAATACATCCCAATAAAAGATAAGGAAGGTTATAAATCGCAATCATATTTACTACTCATTTGGTCAGTAGCAAGGTTTTAAATAGCCGTAGCGGCAGCGGTAGCGGTAGCGATAGCGGTCATCGCGGTAGCGACCTGTTGCGGCTTGTAGTCGACTGTAGCGGTTGCAGCGGCGTGAAATATTTTCAATTGCACAAAACATAAATGTATTTTTTCACATCATTCACACAACATTTAATTTTGAGATTCACTCCATGCATCACTATTAATGTATTTTTTCACATCATTCACATAACATTTACACATTTACACATCAAACAGTTCGTGATGTACTGCCGGAAATGTCAATAGCGGGCTGTAGCGGGCTGTAGCGGGCTATAGCGGGCTGTAGCGGGCAGCGTAGCGGATTTTTCCGGTGATTTGGAAATCACACACGAATAGCGGGCCATAGCGGTAGCGGGCCGCTATTTGAAACCATGGTCAGTACTAGCACTAATAGATCTTATATATGTGCCGATGTGGGTATGTACCAGAGATCCGGTACATCATGTAGAAGTTTTATTTGGATCTATCTTTAATCATTTGCTAAAACTTCTCACCACTTTACCAACTAAACTACCCATGCTAGTTACAAGTTACAACCCTACTTCATTAATAAACCCAATTCTCAATTAGTTAATATGAAAATTGGAAATTCATTGTTCGTGTTATTCCAATTTTTTTAATGCAATCAAGCACTATCAATATATTCACAACTTTAATTTCTTTTAATTATATCCTTACTTTTATTATTATTATCTACATCAGTTTTTGCCAACATTTTTTCACGAATAGTTATGATTAAAAAATTCAACCATTCTGACTAAAAATAAATAAATTTTAGTTTATTTTGTTGTTGTTGTTGTTATCTCAAATCTATTTTTCAAAAAATAGTTGAATGAAGAAAAACATTAACCATGGATATATATAAGAAAAACTTTGAGAATCAATTTCTCGTTCACCCATTATATATCCGTTTAGAGTATACCATATATCGACTCGAAACCCTTAACAAGGAGAATCCGGAACCACTTTGATGACCTGACCTAAATCAGAAGTGAAGTTCACTCAAAATACTGCTCCAAATTGATCATTTGATGCAATTTTAACACATTTTCCCAACACTTTCTTCTCGCCACCAGGGTGACATTCACCAACTTTGCCACCCTCTAAGCAGATTTTTTTTTAGTGTTGCCCGGCCACCGCCACACCCTATGAGTTGAAAAGAGTAAATTTTCACTTTTCACCGATAGAGTCGCAAACAGGAGAAGACATGGTCATTGGTCTTGGCATTTACGAAGTACTATCGTATATAATTATATAACGAGATTTTTCTTAAGATATTACTAATAAAAAAAGAGAAAAATGTAACTATAAGTTATTATGAGTAAAATGTAACTATAAGTTAATATGAGTATAATTTATAGTCACTACGATGTAACATTTGACTATAATTATTTTTTATATAACAATGGTCAATGGTTAATAGAATTAGTAGAGTAACACATTTTAGTCCATTACTTTTATTTTAGTTATATATTTGATATCATTTCTCGTATAATTTCATGTTCACACTAGTTGTTTAGATATTCCACACTAAAATATTGGATTTTAGCTAGGGGGTGGGGGTGGTACGACCCGTACCATATAGGTTAATTTTCAGCTAACAAATATATGGATTACTATATTTTTTATACCATTATTATTCAAACAACCATTCTTGTTGTATCCATCTTATACCCACTTTTGTGAAGGCTATTTTTTCTGTGAGTCCGGTTTATGGACAAGATATGTCTTATTTTGTCTGTGCAAATTTTGCATAGACAAAATAAAATATATTTTGTCTGTGAACGGAATTCACAGGAAAAAAAATCTTTACAAACATGGATAAATATAAAAAATGATATAAGAGCGAGTACAAACATCGTTTTTTATTATTATTATCCGTGTGGTACGGCCGTAAAATAACTTCGGTTTACGAGATACTAGTCTTTCACCCGTGCGTTGCACGGGATAATAAATTATCCAAAAAAAATATTATATGAAAACAATTTTTGTAACTTACAGAGTAATACCCTAAATAAAAGTGCTAGAAATTGATCAACATTATGATATTATGACTATGCAAATTTATATCAATAATGTGTACTAACCTATCATTCAAAAATTGGGACAAGAGAGAAACGACATAATTGTTATGAAAAATAAAATTATATAATTGATACTAAATAAGTAAAGTGTAAATGAAGTAAAAAAGAATTACAACCGTACGAATATTAACAAACATGGAATGATTAAATTCTGTGGGATAAGCGAAAACGAAAAATGAGATAAATATAGTGAAAGACTGAAACATAGAGAGTAACACTCGTTTTAGCATAACATTTTAATCAAATAGATTACATCCTTAGTTTGTTGCATGACTATGAGAATAGGAAACATGTATATTTATCAGAAGTAATAGAGGATAAATATGCACTAATATAAAGTATTTACACTACAAAGTAGCAATAGAATATTACTATTTGATCAACCATTTGATAAAATTTTATGCAACACTATACATATATACTTTCACCTCATAAATGAAAATAATAAAAAATGAGAATGACCAAATCACTCACTGCCCCCCCCCCCCCCAATAATCAAATGCATGTGTAATTCCATCATCTTGTGCATGAGTGCATCAATCTTAGCTTCTCTCACATGAGACCCGAGGAGTGTGCAATGCAATAGATGGTTGGGATGTGAGTTAAAAAAGATGCTCAGTGTGGGATGATATGAGGCAGAAGGCAACGACAATACCCACTACACTTCAAACGCGTCAACTATGGTAGAACTCACAATAGACGCCTTTATTTCCACATTATCTCTCAAGAAAGCAAATGCTCCCACTGCTCGATCTAATAAATGGGTGGTTTGAAGATCGATCAAAACTCTGCCCAATTTGATATAAACTGTCCTACTAAGCAGAACTACAACTTTTCCTAGTAAAAGAAAGATTGTCACAGAAGCAAGCACCTAAGATCATACACACAACCGTGATAGTTAATTTTCACATAAACAATGAAATTAGTACTCAGATTAGTCAGATACATTGCATGCATAGAACATATATCAATGATCAAATAAAAACAAAACTAATATGTTATAGGAGCACATTTCACTAATGTGATATAACTATAAAATGAATTAGCTTAGAGTCCAACTTAAATTCAGAAAATATAATTGTACTTTATCTATCCATCATTATTTTATTTCTGAATAAAATAACTTTTGGTTTATCAAGCACTACCTTAAACATTTTACAACTTTTAGTTTATCAAGCATTTTATGGCGATATATCATAGTGATATGATGGAATAAAAGACCACCTGAGCAAGACAAATTAGCTGGGAAGTAACAAAAAATTGCACTATTTTCACTCCTTAAAGTACATTTTTGGCTCACTGGTAGCAGAAAATGTGAAGTACTAATGCAAGTTTTCGCAAAACTAAATGGTTGAAATGAAACTTTTGGTTTAACAGGTAAGTCTTAAGGTGTATTTTAGTGATTTGATATAATAATGTTATTGAATGAGAGCTTAAATGATCCATTTAAAAGTACTATCGTATTAGCTAAAACTTTAGTGATAAGCAATATGGAAGTAAAGAGAATCCTCAAAATTTTCCTTAACTGCTTGCTCACATCCTGAACACTTGCTATCTGAAAATAAGTTCACAATAATTATCCAATTACACAGGTTGCTCAGCTTGGTATAAGAAAATTTCCATTAAAACCATGAAAAGTAGTTAGATATATGAAATAATATGATATTTAGAGAAAAAGCGCATGGGCCGGGGTTCATAATTAAGTAATAAGAGATGCACCTCCTCATCTATGAGAATTGAGAACCATCTCAATCTCATTCCCAGAACTATCACCTTCAAATTAAACGAAAACTGGACATTTATTTATATTAACATACGAAGTACGATAGTATATTTTAAGTCACCTAAAAGACAAAACAAATAACTACTTTAAGTGTTGTTAGCTAATCAATATCATAACATCATGGCCAAAATGTACTCAACCACTTTTCTAAAATGTTTACAGGGGCCGGTGGTAAAAAATTACTAAACCTATCACAAAAGAAGTCCTAAACCTTTAGGAACAGTTAATGTAGTTTTTTCTACCTAAGATCTCTCTTTCGTTTCTTTATCTTTACTTGGCCTTTGAAAATGACCCGGAAGAAGTGTTCATTTATCTACCTTGAAATGCATATTAAGAATCACAAAGAAAAATGCAGAACAAATACAAAACAGAAAAGTAGAAACCTTTAGTCTAGAAATGTGTGCTGTAACTTGGAAATACAAATAAGATAAATAATAATAGAGCAAAGTGCGATGGTAGAGAATGGTCCAAGTTTACTAAAGCAGTGTTTGCGGTTGCTTAAAAAAAGTGCTTTTCAGCTTTTGGCTTTAAAAAAGCTAAAAAGAGTGTTTTCAAATGACAGCTTCTGCTTAAATTAATCACTTAAAAGCTAAAAGCTGGAATCAGGTGGAAGGGTGCTTTAAACTGCTTTTCACTTTTTCTATTACACAAAAAGTACTTATTTTACCAAACACTAACTTTTACTTTTTCAGAATCATTTTTTTCTCAAACACTACCAACTTTTACTATTAATCACTTTTCCCAAAATTACTTTAAAAAATCACTTTTTTAAAGTTGAAGCAATTGCAAACACTCCCTAAGGCATTAGTGATGGCGGGAAATGATCTAAGTTGACCAAGGCAGATAAATTGTAGACTCTGCAGTCCAAATTCCTAGCAAGTAGCAACTGAGACAAACATCACATTCCCAGGACTCATCATCATCATCATCATTCCCAGAACTATTACCTTCAAATTAAACCAAACTGGACATTTGTAATAACATATATTTTAAGTCACTTCATGCCATCACAATACTGAAATCATATTTAGAGAAGAAAAGAATGACAATTTACCGATAGGAAAAGCAAGCAAATGGGTTCATATTTCAAAATACATGAAATAAGAGAGAACTAATTTATTGTAGTTCGTATTAAACTAAAAAGTGTCATTATCATAGCCAGCCTTGTAAATGGTGTTTGCATATATACATTTCCAAATTTCCAAATACAAATGAATTGTCTAAGTTTCAGAATCCCTTCCTCCATTCTCTAATCGTTTCTTTAAATGCAGGCATGTTTGGATGAAATCAACGAAAAATTAGGTCCTAAAACAGGTCAACATTTTTCTCTAGTCATTTTGTTAACATTTTTACTAAGAGAGGCAAAGTACACTCAATAATATAAAAAAAATTGCACTATGCAGAGAAAAGAACTACAATAATAATTAGAAAATAATAAGAGCCATACCTCCTTTCATGAAGTCCATTTTAATCATATTTTTGGAGGAGTTTCCCTTGTCAGGAACAATCCACCTGCGTACTACTGTCAACAACAACACAGCCTTGTCGTCCAAGTGCGAATTAACACTCTTTAAATCGACTTTGAAGGGAGCACTTGCAGCCATTGCAGAACTCATAGATTCTATAAACACATTCATCTAAATCTAGATTTTTTTTAATGAAATCCAGGGGAAATCAAATTATGATATGGTATGTGACATATATAAGTCTAGAATTGTTAGATTTGAGATAGATTACTAACCAATATTGCTAAAAGTGATTGAGATGGAGTCTCCAAGTTTTTTATTAGAAGTTGGAATGGCTGATGTCAGTGATGTGGGTAAATCAGAAATCCTCTCAAAGCAAGTGAGGCGTAATCTACATGCAGAGGTTTCCCTAAGAGCCGGAAAGAGTTGAATAAATCGCAGGTAGAACCGTAGAAGCGGTAGAAGCGTAGGAAGAGCCGGAAAGAAATTGCAGCAGTTTCCCTGAAGAAATCCAAGACTCAAGCTGCGTTTAATAGAAATCATGTGTAGTTACAAAAATACCCTGCGTGTGAGCGGGAATGAGACTTAAGTGGATTAATTAATATATATATAGATTGGTTACTCAAAAAACCACAAAACCATGATTTTTAATTAGATCATCTTATTAGGAACTCCAATCAATATCGTCACTACTATAGGTAGAAAGACCATTAATATATATTCTACATATTAAAAGAAATGGGAAATTTGGAAAGAATATACGGGTACCATGTTCTATTTATCCAAACAAAAGAAAATTAAATTTTGAGAGTGGATTACACGAAAACGATCTGCATGTTTCAACATAAGTCCAAGTCATGAATCCCAAGCTCGATCCGTAAGAAAAGATAAAATACACACAATAGGAATAGGCAATGGTGCACCGGTACTTCACCCCGATATCGTATCCGCGTATCTTATATGTATTCAATATCGATAATCACCGATATGCGTCCTATACCTATTGGATCCGTATCCGTAATTTAATAAAAGTATCGGGCTTATTTTTAAAAACACCGATACTTCTGATACCCGTATTCCTGAATCGATACACATATATGACCCTATAACCCTCATTTCATACACTACATGACGAAAATTTAGTAATCGTCCAAGCAACCACAAGATGTGGAACATTGATAAAGATGATTTCGAGAGTATGGAAAATATTGGACTACTATAACTTGTCATTTAATTTTATCGTTTGATGAGCTTTAATTATATTGAAACAAGACTTAGATGTAAATGCAAATAGTGAACAAAAAATATTATTTGAATTTAAATCAAAATATCAGTACTTTAGTTTTTTTAGCCTAATTTTTGAAATTTTATTATATTAGTTGATTTTTTGTACTATTATTACTTTATTTATGAACATCTGAATCATATATATTTGCAAATTATACCATATATTGTTATTATTTATAAATATACTTGTATCCATATCCTATGATTTTTAAAATTGCCGTATCGCCGTATCGTATTTGCATATCGGCGTATCCGTATTCGTGCAACATAGGGAATAGGCATGTTAAAGTTTCACGAACGCACAACGGACTAAGTAATTAACTATTTACTGGTAAAAGCTTTAAATATTAATTATTGATTTATGAAATTAAAATCTAGTGACATACAGAATATGGTTTCTTCCTAAGTTAGTAAAATTGAAGTTCATGACTTATGATGATTTTTGAAAAGAAAAAAAAACACAAAAATTGATGATTTTCATATATCTTTATCTTTATCTTTATTATATAAAAAGTAACAAAGTGCAATCAGTTGTTGCCGCCCAAAATGCCACAAATTAAAGGGAAAAATTGGTAAAACAACCTGTCACACCGGTTACTTCCCGCCCATCCATAGCATTAAGTGTGAGAGACGTTCCAAGTTGACAATATATGGAAACAATACAAAGGAAGGGAATAAAATTGAATAATATATATAGTAACAAAGTGCAATCAGTTGTTGCCGCCCAAAATGCCACAAATTAAAGGGCAAAATTGCTAAAACAGCCTGTCACACCGGTTACTTCCCGCCCATCCATAGCATTAAGAGCATCTTCAATGCTACAATGTGCACGGTGCACATGTGGCACGGGAGAGATAGAAACAAAAAATTGAATTTATAACATTCTCTTTCATTCTTTCCACGGTTTTATGTGTTTTTGGTAAGTTTTCGTCTGCAATGTCAAGCACAATGTCTACATCTAGACATTGTGTTTGACATATTGTGAAGAAAAACTTACCAAAATGATACAAGATCCTTCAAATAAGGAGAGAGATATTCTATTTACTATTTTTTAATTGGCTATCTCTCATGCCACGTATGCACCGTTCACGTTTTAGAATTGGAGATGCTCTAAGTGTGAGAGACGTTCCAAGTTGATAATATATATGGAAACAATACAAAGGAAGGAAATAAATTGTAATAATTCAATTCACTATGGCAATTAAAGTATGAACATTTAGCATTAAGGTATGGAAGGAAATAAAACTGAACTAATTCGTGATCAGTATGGCTAGCATCACAATTCGTGCCCTAATATTGCTCTTAATATTGCTGAGACATAAATACCACTAATTACTTACCATAAGAGATACACACGTAATTGAAGTAGTAATACATGCTACATATTTGCATAACAAATATTCGCATATACAGACTATAAATAACCACACATTGTTTATTCAACTCATTCTAAAAAACAAATACAAAAATTTTATTGCCGGAGCAACCATTTTCTCTCTCAACCATGTCGGTCGAAACTGTTGATCTCGATGAAATTCAACCTGGAAGCATCGTATGGAGAGTTCGTGTACGTGTCATACGGCTGTGGCAAGTTACGGAGTACGGAAAGCCAGAAAACGTGACTGCGATCGAGATGATTTTACTAGACAAGAAGGTAATTTCAATTGTATTTCAAAATTTGTTTTCACGATTACATGTTGTGTGATTGTGTGAATTAAACGAATTGTCAAATTTAATTTAGAATATATTCGTAATTTAATAATAATTTTATTCAAATTTGCTTTACTAAATACATCTCCATAATTGAATAATTTCGGATTTATCTCAACCTAATGATTAAATAATTTTTCTATATTTCTTTAAAAAGGATTTCTTGAAATCAAATAATAATTTCAGTGTTTTCAAAATTTATCTTTGTAATTGAATAATTTGTGTAAGTATATACTTTGTGCAAATTAACAAATTCTTCAAGTTCATTTCAGAAATTCATTTAGTAAACACATCTCCATAATAGAATAATTTCATATTTCGAATCTAATTTAATTAAATAATTAATTATTTTAAATTTAATTTAGTACATGCATCTCCATATGAGGGTATTACAAGAACATATTACTTTTGACTATATGTAATGGCATATTACAAATTTATTTCTCATGTTGACCACTATGTTGTTGGTTTATTCTGAATTAGGATATTTTGACATTGGGGATCCAACATGGGAGTGTGAATTTTGCAATTCTTTAATGTGGTATTCTGATAGGGTGGGGAAAGGATACAAAGCAAAAAACCCAAAGTTCTCATTATGCTGCATGCAAGGAAAAATAAGTATCTCTCATAAGAAGGATGTTCTCCACCGCAACCTCTGAGTGATTTATTCCATAAGAAGGATGCACGAAGTAAATATTTCTTACAAACTATTTGATCCTTCAATATGATGTTCTCATTCACGTCTCTTGGTGGAAGAATTGAAGTGTCTCAGAATGATGGCAACGGTCCTCCCATGTATATCTTGAATGGTGAGAACTATCATAGAATCGGAAGTTTGCTCCCTTTACCCGGAGAGAAACCCAAATTTGCACACCTATACATATATGATACAGATAATGAAATATCTAACCGAATGGAAGTGGTCGGGTAAGTCATTTTTTCCACCATGTATGTGAATGCAATTTCATTTGCATGCATAAAACATGTATGCGAATACAATTTCATTTTTTCCAAGCCTGTTTGAGGGACTTCCTAGTCAATTTTTTTGATGAAATATTGTGAGAATTTTCTTCATGAAGTTTAGAACATCTATACAAAATTTCATCTCTAAATACAATTGATAAGTTAGTTAAACAAATTTTTGAAAAAAAAATTGCATTTTTTGCGCAGTAATTTCAATGATTTATTTAACAAACATTTAGAACGAATTTAAACTGAAATTTTGTGGAGATAATCCACAATTCATTAATAACATTCTCACAAAAATGCATCATAGAATTCCACCGAGAAGCCCCTCAAATGGCTTCAGTCGGATGGCTGTTCCATTTGGTCCGGACCGACAGAAACATTACTCATTATTTTCTTACATGTGTTATTTTTTCATTGTGATGATAAGATGAAAGATGATTCATCTCCTATGTAGTCATCGATTGTGATTGATCTAAAACAAATGCTTGATGAGTACAATCCTTACGCCCAGGCTTACAGAATGGTTCGTGATAGAGTGCAAAACAATGAAGTGGCACCTCTAAAGTTGAGGCTTCTGGGAAAAAAAGGACATAATGCTAGAACATATAATCTTCCTACGGCCTCAAAAGTAGCAACGCTTATTGTGGGGGGTTTCGATGCATCCAGTGGTGAGAGAGATATAATAGTAGAAACACAATCAAATGCTCTAAAGCGTGTGTCTGTTTTGAGCTCAGCGTATTTTCCATTACAATACCCATTGTTGTTCCCAAGGGGAGAGCAAGGATATACAAATGATATCTCATTAAACGAGACTCAAAGTGCAAGATCACATAAGAGGCACAAGGTTTCAATGATAGAGTTCTATGCTTACAGATTTCAAAATCGAGATACTGAACAAGCATGTTTTTTGTTTTCAAAACGCCTGTTTCAACAATTGTTGGTGGACGTACATAGTATAGTTGAATCAACTCGATTGTACTATTACAGAACTCATCAAAAGGAAGTTAGGGCGGACATGTATAAAGAAATCGAAGAGGCCGTCCTAAGGGGTGATACAAATCCGGCGCCTGTGGGTAAACACATTGTGCTACCATCATCTTTTACGGGTGGTGCACGATACATGTTTCAGAATTATCAAGACGATATGGCAATATGCCGCTAGATGGGCTATCCTGATTTATTCATTACATTCACATGCAATCAAAACTGGCCTGAACTCTCTAGATATTTGAGGGCCCAAGGACTGAAATCTGAAGATAGACCCGACTTGATTTGTCGCGTTTTCAAAAATTAACTTGATGAGATGATTAAAGAGATCAAAGGAGGGAAAGTTTTTGGATTAGTGAGGGCAGGTATGTGTAGTACATGGATTTTTCCCAAAAAAATACGAATCAAAATTGATTTAACTTAATGACAATTTATCCTTTGTATGCAATGATATACACAATTGAGTTCCAAAAGAGAGGGTTGCCTCACGCGCACATATTAATTTTCTTGCACCCACAGTATAGGTATCCACATCCAAATGATATTGATAAGATTATATCAGCTGAGCTACCGGATGAAGAGAGTGACCCCGAATTGCTAAAGATTGTCTCAACTTTTGGTCCATAGTCCGTGTGGGTTGCAGAATAAGAAATCACCGTGCATATATGTAGAACGGTAAATGCATAAGACACTTTCCGAAAAAGTATGTTGAGCGGACGAGTATCGATGAAGACGGTTATCCATTGTGCATGAGGAGAGAAAATGGTCGTGTTATACAAAAGGGAGACAATGTCATTGACAATCGCTTCGTCGTCCCTTACAACCATCATCTTCTTATGAAATATAATGCTCATATAAATGTAAAATGATGTAACCAATGTTCTAAAAGGCGCTAGGCGCTAGTCGGGCGCCAGCCCAGCGCCTAGGCGGCTAGGCGGGCGCCTAGGCGGGGACTAGTCGGAGACATAGAAATTGCATTTGTATCTATATTTTTGCATAAATATGATAAGTAATATTGTATTTTTGTGTGTATAAAATACATATAAACATATACATTAACAAACATGAAAGACAAAATTATCACATTTAATCATGCGAAGTATATGATAACTAATCACTCAATTTTATTATGTTATAAATATAAATAATGATAAAATTTAGGTATATATACAAACATGTATAGTTTTATCTTAATTTAAAACTTCATTTCTTTATATCCATGAATAAAGTTAAAGTACATATATTGTTTGGAAAATTAAATTTAAAAAGTAAAGTAATGTTCAACGAATCTAGACGGCCTAGGCGGCCGATTATGCGCTCTAGGCGGGAAACTAGGCGCCATAGGCGGCCGACTAATTCACGTAGACGGCAAACCAATTAGTCGGAGCGCCTAGACGAAAATCGGGGCGCCCGGCCACCGTCTAGCGCCTAGGCGGGGACTAGTCGGGTGCCTAGAACGATTTTTAGAACAGAGGGTGTAACCAGTCCCGCTCCATCAAATATCTATTCAAATATGTGAATAAGGGCTAGGATCGTGTCACCGCGGGTTTTTATAATGGTGCACCTCATCAAGCTAATTCGGAACCCGTGGATGAAATAAAGTTGTATTATGATTGTCGATATTTGTCATCGTGTGAGGTTGCATGGAGACTTTTTGCCTATGACATAAATTATAGAGAACCTTCTGTTGAGAGACTAACATTTCACCTGCCTGGCGAACAACATGCGATATTCGACGAAGGTGATTCCCTTCAAGTTGTATTGTCTTTTTGCCTTTAACATTTCTTGTGTGGATGGATGCAAATGCAAAGTACCCTGAAGCAAGAGGCCTAACGTACGCTCAGTTCCCTTAAAAGTTTGTGTGGAATCAAACTGGACATGAGTGGCTTCATAGGAAAAGGTGGAACACAGTTGGGAGATTGCATTTCGTGCCTCCAGCAACATGTGAATTGTACTACTTGTTCAAGATCATTTGTTGAAATATGAACCATTGACAATATTGTGTACCCCACATTCAAAGACACGTGCAATGCGTTGGGATTGCTAGGTGATGATAAAGAATACATCGATGCTATCATAGAATCGAGTTTTTGGGGAACTGGGGAGTATTTGAGGTTCTTTTTTTTGTATTGATGTTGTCTAACCAAATGTGTACGCCACACATGGTTTGAGAAAAAACATGGAAATATCTAAGTGATGATATTCAGCACAGGCAGAGATTACTTCTACAATTTCATGGTAGGTATATTACTATTTTTTATTAATGTTATAATAAATATTGTTACAGAAACATACATTAGTTGCACTTGCTAATAGTAATGATAAAATCCTTTATGCAAGTGTGATAGAACTATTTATATTTTTTTGACAGATCTGATTCTTTCTGATGATGAATTGAAGAGTTTTACTTTGGTCGAGATAGAGAGGTGTTCATTGATATACCTGATTATTTGCTTATTACCACTTCAGGTGATCCCATTGCTTCAATTGTTGCTAGCACTTATCCTTCATTTCTGGAGAATATGGCTGATCCAACCTATTTTAAGCAAAGAGCTATTTTGACACCCACAAATGATGTTGTAGAGCATATCAATAATTATATGATTTCATTGATGCCTGGAGAAACGAAGACATATGTCACGCCCCGGACCGCGTCCGTGCCACGTAGACAACCGCCGTACAACCCAATAAGAACAACATAGTTCATCCTTATCAAATCATACAAGGCGTCCGTTAAGTTCTATTGCCAAGCCGATTAGTAAACCCATACAATCAACATCAATATATATTAGTCAAACAAATGCGGAAAATAAGATATGTTTGATACTTAGCCACACGTGGCAAATACGGGCACGCAGGCCCCCAAATGTTTTAATAGAAAACATTGTTAAAAATATCCATGAGCAGTTGCATTATTTCAAATGAGAATGGAAGCACGAACCACGTCTTCCTCCTTGATCAATCACCCTAGGCAAAGGTGCAGGTAGTAGGACTCTAGCCTCAACCTGAAAAATGTGAGGGCCCCCGAAGGGGTCAGTACTCCATAGAAGTACTAGTGACAAGCAGGCTATATGAGGAATAACTAATGTTTCAGACACGAGACCCAAAAAATAGAGTGATACTTATATTTATAGGTGTAACCATTGTTACCCCATTACCAAGATAATACATATTGTATATACTTGTAAAATACTTGACCCGTAGGTCGTTTTATCACAAAGAGTCTTTTAGAGGTATGGCGATTACCCAACCTTTCCCATTCATTCCTGAATGCCTAGCTCACGGCTACATTCTACCTTCATAATATCCTACCGAGTTTCAGGAGTGTTTACCCTCCCGGGGATGCTCAACCCCACCGAGTTTCTGGGATTGTTTACCGTCCCGAGGATACTCAACCTCACCGAGTTTCTGGGATTGTTTACCGTCCCGAGGATACTCAACCTCACCGAGTTTCTGGGATTGTTTACCGTCCCGAGGATACTCAACCTCACCGAGTTTCTGGGATTGTTTACCGTCCCGAGGATGCTCAACCTCACCGAGTTTCTGGGATTGTTTACCGTCCCGAGGATGCTCAACCTCACCGAGTTTCTGACCAAACCCTAACCTGGATATGGCTAACCTTTCATTCACTTAACTACGGACAATACCTAGCCCTATAGTCATATAATAATCCCAAGTAACCAACGTGGGCGGGTCTCACTTGAACGACCCACGTTAACCTGCTCAAAACTGCCTGTTTTGGGCATAGTCCAATACCCTATCGGGTATCCAACCTTACCCGGTCGGGTAGGACGGGGCAGAAGCCCCTGGAACTGACTTTACTTGAGACCCGGTCGGGTCCCTGACCTTACCCGGTCGGGTCTAGTGTGGCAGTGGCTTCTGGAGCCGAATTTAATCAATACCCGGTCGGGTATCCATCTTACCCGGTCGGGTATCACCCTTGTCTCGGCGGTCAACGCCCGTTTGACCGCCCAAACGAAGTCCGATTAACGTGAAATTTTATATGCACATTCTACTTGAAGTCCTTGATCCAAAAATACCATTTTTGACCCCTGGATCATTGTACATAATAAGTTACCACATTTTTAATCACCAAACATACAAACATGCCTTTCAACTTTGTTTTATATATATTCATGGCATAAGCCCATACTTGATTAACTTTAATCATTCCGTAAAACATATCCTTGATTACTTTAGGTAATCTCATGCCTCAATCAAAAGTTATAAAGCATATAGCCGTCTTCTCACCTTAAAAGAAGCTTATGAAGTTTTAGCCTTCCTTATAGAGCTCCGGTGAAACTCCGGTGAACTTCAACTAACTCCGGCGACAACTCCGGCGACCCTTTCAACCCCTTGAAAGTTCTTGAAATACCTTATACAATTTAACAACAAGGTTTTATCATCATAAAACCTATACCAATACAAATAACCTCTAAAAGGTTATTTTCCGACAAACCGGTCAACTTTGTTCTCCAAATCCGTTTTGGATATGAACCAACCTTCCAACCCCTCATTCTTCACATCAAATGTGAAGAACGGTTCTATGGGTATGAAATATGATTACATAATCATATTGGAGGAAAGGAGAAAGGATTCGTGGGACCATTACCTTGTTTCCTCAAGCTTTTCCTCACTTCTTCACCTTTAACCCTCTCCCTTGAGCTCCCTTCTTCCTTGAGCAGGCTGGAAACTATGGAGGTGTGTCTTCAAGAGCTTCTCTCTCCCTTGAGGAAGGCCTGGCCGAAATAATGGAGTCTATGGGTGAGGAGATGTTCTTTTTGGCATCTTTGGCCAAATAATGTGATAGAGGGGACCCTCTCCCTTCTCACTTTGTCTCCCCATCATTTCCCTTCTATTTCTTTGCTCCTAACTCGTCTCTCCCTCCCTCATGCAAGACTAAAAACGTGGGGTGGCCCCCACTCATGTGGGAGGTCATCCCTTTAAGTCCCCAAGTGTACATTCAGTCCCGAAAGTTGTATTTTCCGGACTGTTTTAACTATATTTCATTTTATCGGGTAAAATGAAATATTTCTCCTCCTTCCAATTATTATTGGCTACAAGAATGAATGTATATTCCCCAACTTTCAATTTGGTGGTCTCCGTAATTTATTATGGCTTTTTATCTGATATTACTTCGGTACCGATAAATGGGCTTCACATGCTCAACTGGTTGCTCACATAACTTCTATGGCTCAACCAGGCTATCCACCAATATACACATATTATCTTGACCCAAATGAATATAATATGTGGTCCCGATAATATCGGGCGGCCCCCACTTCCGGTGTGGGCCCCACGTGAATTTTTTTTACTATTCACATAAAAGAAATGATAAACCTTTACAATTACGAAAATGCATTTATTCATTTCCCAGAGTTCCATACATAATTCGGTAAAGTACAAATACTTGGGGGCGGTGTTACACATATTTGAGTTTTGACAGCTCATCCTCACCTGAAAGCTCAACCAATGGCGCTGAATCTGACAAAGTGCATACTCAAGAGTTTTTTAACACCATCAATGCATCAGGGATACCGAACCATAAATTGGGGCTAAAGGTTGGTGTGCATATTATGTTAATGAGAAACATTGACCAGCACTCTGGCTTATGTAATGGAACGCGTCTGATCCCGTAAATCTGTTTTATAGGCGAAGGTTATATCTGGCAA